TGAAGTTAAAACGGATTTATCGAATATAGTCTAAATAAGATTTACATTAAGTAAATTACAATTGTAACAATGCTTATTTTTTAGTCACACTAACATCACTAAAAGCCATTTTTTTGAATCGGCAGAATTCTAAATTCATTACACTCGTTTTGAAACTTGCATTGTTGAAAAAATTCCTTTGTACATTTAATACAAAAAGATTAGTAGAAAGATTTTTAACTCGAGAAAGTCTCCAAAAAATCTTTAGCAAACAATTAGAACAACTTATTGGACTTCGCGACTCAGAGTAATGTACACCGTTGTGTAAAATTTGGCATTCAAGAAATTTATAATCAAGATTAAAAGGTAATATAGAATGTAAATTGATGTTTATTTAAATGATAAACGATAATTCAAGAAATAAACGAAAATTCCAAAAAAAAAACAAGATAGTACAAAGTTAGGTCATATCACATACGTAATTCAATTTTATATTTCAGTATTGTAATAATTTATAGTTTTCTTTGATCTAAATAAGATTTTATCAAGGTCAACGTGATAAAATCATGTAAATTGATAATAATATATTAATGAAATTAAGCTAATATTAAAAGCTATTCTATAAATAAGTACGACTAATACTAATTCTTTTTATCTTTGGCGATGAAAATTCCAGATTCACTTTGGACATGATAATACTTATAATGAAGAGAGGCGATAAGATAATATTTGGCGTCACACTTTATCAATCAAGTAAAGAAAGACAGTCGGATGATTGTATATCTAGGATAAAATTTGATAATTTATAAATTAAAGATAATGATTTTATCGAAATTCTAAAGTAATAGTAACAATAACCAATTACTTATGTTGGCGCCGATACTGGAAATTTCGACAGTGGTCATCAAATTATAACCTAAAAATTGATTTTCGATAAAAAGAAATAAAAGACCATTTTTTTGTTTTTTTTTAAAAAAAACAAGTTTAAAATAAAAATAAAGAAACTTAGCATTTTAACATTACAAAATTTTTTCATAAGATCCTTGGGAGCGACAAAATCCGCAACTTTAGTGCTATTAATCATATACATGATACCATCAACAGGTTTCTTAAATTCAATATTTTTGACAATACCTGTAAAATTCATCTTTGTATTCAGATGGAGCGGAGAAAGCAATTGAAGCCAAAAGGGCAACTATCAAAAGAAAGAATAATTTTTTTTTTTCGGAGATGAATCCTTTATCAAGGATTAGAAGTGAAGAACAGATTGAAAGTTTTTTTTCATTTCGGAATTATATTAATTCATTAAAAAAAGAATTCATAATACTTCATCTGTTAAATTCCATAACTTTTTGATTATCGGTAAAATTTTATTTGGATCACAAATTTACTCGAAATAAATTATCACAAGGAAGTGATCATCATTTATTTACTTTCTAAAAAAGGAAAAGAGGCTTATATACGGCCCCGGATCAAAATTTTGTTATTATTATGCATTACTTGTACGGTACGATTATTTATATTAACCTCACAACACTTCAAACACTTTTGAAATTAAATTCAAGGGACAGGAGTTTTATGTTTTACTCTAAAATGGAAAAGATTTTTCTCTTTTAATCAATTGTTTTATTTATTTGTTGAAAAATTTAAATTATCATTCATTTTCAATGAAATTAACCTGAACAATTTGCTAAATTAGCCGAAAATTCCTTTATATTTTTTTAAAAATCGGAGTATTTCGTTTAATCTGACAATAAAAAAAAAAAGAAAACAAAATACCCGGGATCAATCTCATTAATCTAAAATTGTACGTTCATATAATAAGCAGATACAATTGTTTATCAACAATATTATAGTTAAACTTATTTCTAAGACCAATCAAAATCACCGAGCTTTCGTTCTAACAAATTTCGGGATATCGGCAAAACTTACTGCCGGAAATTGCGTCAATAAAAATTTTTTCAAACACGTTTTAAAAAATTAAAAATTTGATAGAGGCAGAATGATTTGCTATCTGTTATGACCCGTGATATTTTTTTTTAACCCATTTTGACAGTTATAACTTTATCCAATGAGTATACTTTTTTTCAAATGAATTGGAAAAATTGTTGCGAACTTTTCAAGATTCGGGTTAGATTATAAAAGCAAAGGTAATTTTATTAAATGCTAAAACATGATATTAAACGAACAACAAGAAAATGAAATTTTGAAATGAAAAAAATTATGAAATAACAGAAAAAAAAAATATCGATAAAAGAACGAATCTATTATTTGATAATGGATACGACCAACTAACTAATCAATTTAATAATGATACTTTTTTTCCTTGTCATCCACGGTGATGAAAGTTCCGGATTTTCCTTGGACGTGATTTTTTTTATAAAAGACGGTGGCTATAAGAAAGTATTTGGCACGATCATTGGCCCATACTTTATCGATCAAGTAAAGAAAGACGGTAGGACGGTTATAGATCTGCAATATATAGAATTAATAAAATTTTAAAAAAATATATTTTTTTATATAAAAATATCTTCAAAATAACGAAAAAACGTACGTATTCCTTTTCAACGATAGTATCAACAACTTTTTTGGCGGCAATA